TAGTGATATGTAGATCGAGTAACTCAGAAAGCGTTTGTAAAGCGTCGCTGTTTGACACATTTGTATACAAAGACGCAGTGCAAGAGTTTAATCAATGAGTGTAATGCTTTTCCAGACTCGCGCGGCGCAGGCTAGAAAACTGCGCTTCAGCTTTATCTTCCAGGTATAGGTCGTCTTGAAATGTGGCCTATCAAAGAGTACAGATAAGCAATTTATGGATTTGGAAGAGTGCAACAGCTGACTGTAGACCTTTTAAATATTCCTTTCCATCCTTAAATGCTTCAACTCGAAAGAATCTTGAGTTCTAACACATTGTGCATTGTTCCCTCTTTACTTGACGTGTATTTGAAACTTTGAGGCCTCAGCTTTCTATAAAAGTTAATTCTATTCTTTGTTGCAACCTTATTTCGCGAAAGCTTCCAGCTAAGATGCTACCTCAAAACCATTAGAGTAGCTGTAGCTCTTCAAATTTCAAGAATATATTTCAGAATGTCCAGAATTTTCAATCTCAAGTGCTTTAAAAGCAAATCATTCCTAACACCTCACATGGAAATTAGCTTCTTAAGGATTATGTTTTGAATGACGCTTAAGAATGAAGAATATGCAAAGCTTATCCTAAAGTTGAAAGTGCAGTCTAAAGTTGAGTACACATGAGATATTATCAAAGGATTGTGCTAAAATTACGTGTTAGAAAGTCTAACTACCTTAAAACTTCATGAAAACGGTCAAAAATCCAGAAGAGAGATTGTTTGAGTCGAAGACTGCTTCTGTCTATGGCAGTCAACAAGAATGTGTCTCAGTTGGTTCTCAAAAGTATTTTGTCGCAAGAGATTTTGTATCAAAATTTCATTTCCGTACCATATTATTGTGTTCACAAAATAAGTGAAAAGGAAGCACTTAAAATTCGGGCTCAAGTGGCACACAAAGTCCATCGTCACATTTATCCCCTGGTTCCACACAAGCTTCGCATACGTCAAGGACAGCTGGGATGTACAAGTCCTCATGCACTTCAGGTCTACAATATAATTCCATTACGAACGAGTTATATTGATGGAAAAAATTACGAAGTGATGCCTTAATTCGTAGAGACATTTCACAAAGTAGTTTCCACCACAGTCTTTAACAGCACAGCCCACTTTCTCATTGAATGAATAGGCCATCTATCGCACATCATATAAACAATCGCTGCTCAATTTTTTGGCAGTTATATACCTTGATAAAAGAGCTAAGAGTGCTATTGAGCTGTTCTTCCGTGATCTGGAAGCCATAGTCGAAATAATATGCATAGTCTTTTACTGTTCTCCACCATTGAGCTGCAGCCTAAATCTTTACGTGTTAATTTATGCTGTAAATTCAAAATTATAAAACGAACGTAGACAAGTGCAGCAGCCTTGCTTTTTATTGAGCCATTCTTTTGGAGGAAAATGGAATTCTCGGCATGGTTCAGATTTTCTAAAGTTTTGGGATCAGCCTCCTTCCCGCTACAATTTTTCACCCAAGCGGCTGCTAATTTTTCAAGAGCACAATCGTACTTCTGCAAATGCTTCGATTGTCAGCTGCAAAAATTATTACGCTACCTTACCATTTTTTGTAGAAACCCGGCTTTCGGATAAAATTCGCCCTTTGATCTAACTTCTCCTTTTGCAAGGCGTCGTCTGAAATAGACAATGTTCTGAACTTGTGCGGAACACAGATTACTTTATATTAATGGTACTGCTACAGCAAAACAGCCCATGTATTAGGTTATAAGGGAACGTAATGAAAGAACTATGCAGCAATTTATAAAAACTATTATCTGCATCAGTGTATTTGATGCTCCATAAGTTTTCTCAACTTTGTGCATAATTGCTTCTATCGTTTCTATACATGTTCCAGTTACCACTAAGGGCGCTGGCTAAACCAACAAATTGTAGAAAAATTTTTGATTCACGTCCTTATATTATTCAATTTGTTGAGATTGTTTTTATTCTAATTTAAAACTTTGTACATTTTCAGTCGCAACTTTAACTATGTTAAATAAGCTAGGCTATTTTGAAAGATCTTGCTCGTCAATTGAGGTTTTGTTGTTTCGATCCCCAAAGATATTCAGCTATTATATGCTTTTTCGCATGATCGTACCCTACCTCATCGTATTGTACAAAGTCCTCAAAAAATCATTGTTTGTTTGTAGAATACTTTTACTTTTAGTCCTTTTTCAAGCCTCTTTTCAAATTAAATGTAATTTTTTGTATCGGTTAATTGTAGGAGATATTATTTTATCCGCCAATCTTAACATAAACGCTGTCATCTTACATTCTCTTGCTTTAACAGTATCTTTTTGTATGTTGCCATTCAGAAACATTTCAAGCAAATATTGTGGATCTCGCAATAAATGTTGTTCAGATGAATAAATATATCCTGCACATCATTTGTTAAACTATGAGTTTTACAACTTTATGTTTGGTGTGGATAAAAAGTTTCTGAGTGTATTGTTTGGAGTTTATTTTTATTCTGACTACTCGGCAATAGTGAACTTTTTAGACAAACAAGTGATGCTGGCTGTTTCCTAGATTGGCATAGTCTGGAGGATAAATTAATAAGACATTGGCAGGAAATTTAATGTTATCATCTGTGGTAATCTTTCTTTCCAAAAAGCTCGCTATTTGTTATAGTGAATTAACAGATTTTACTCGGAGTACCAGCGAGAGCATATCGAAATAGCTAACCTGTAATCATTATGCTCTTTAAGGGCGAGTTCTCTGAGTTTACGCGGAGAAGGACCATCGCAATCTGTAGAGGTTCTCAGTATTTTGGGTATTTTAACAAAAAGGTGATATGCGAGACATACCAGTTGATGGATGCATGGTAGATGTAGTGGTTTCTGGGCTTCCTAAAATCACCTGGTTGTGCTTAAAAGTTGCTCCAGAGGAAATGTTGTAAATATGAAGCATACCAGTTGATGGAGTCGGAGTGGAAACACCAGCTGATGGTGCCGGGGTTGAGAACTCGCACG